GAGAGCAGGAAGGTTACCTCACTGCAGAAACTGGTCTGAGAGTTTTCCATTTCACATGTGCCTCAGATGAGCAAGGACATGAAGGAAAATCGACGAGCGGTATCGAGTCTAAGGGCTGTATACAAAACGTTGACCAAGAAGAAAGTTCCTTCAGCCTCAACCATAGTTAAAGGTAATGAGCATGCCTCAGCATCAACCTGCCAACCTTCTCCTTCCTGAAAAGAATGCTACAGCGTACTCAGGTTCGGGTCCATGGCCGAAATGGAATGAACTCGTCCCTTATCTTCGTCTTTATCTCCAACTGGTTGCATGATTTGTTCAGAACCTTTGGAAACCGCAGAATATTCTGTGTTGTGAGTGTCAGACAAGGGTAGTAAGGGCGATGAAGGCTAATTGAACCACTGCCAGTGGGGCCACATGCGTGGTTTGTGCATAAGGGGGGAACAGTCGGTTATTTTTGGCAGTGGGAGCATACCTGACGTGTGACCTTGGTAGGTATAATGGCAGGAGTGGTACAGCTCCTTTCATTAGGACACAATGTGTATACGGGTCTGGCCGCATTTTTGGTCAGATATATATACCTGGGAAAGCCCTAAAAGGCTAAAAGTGAGTTATATCTTACTTAATCCGGACATATACCATCTGCTTTACCTCCATCAGGTCCATCCAGATTTTCCTACCCCATCTTGAACTTCTCCAGGTTTTCCAGGTTGTCGAGGTCCAGATCTGGGCCCATACATTTGGGCATGGATATTATAAATGTCTTCTTGCTGAGGAGCAATTTAAACTACCTCTCACTCTGAGCCCACTGTCCCAATTCCAGGTTGTCCTGCCAAACCTCTTGTAGTCCTCCGAACCTGCATAACGTGGGAAGCTGAACACGGAGAATAATGGCTGCAGTTTCCATTTTGACCCTTCTTAAAACCTCCCTCACTCCAGGATCTCCAAGGCTATCTGGACTACTGTCTTCACCCGAATACAACGTATGGTCATTATCGCTGTATCTAGACTCAAAGTTGCCCCAAATACACCTATAATGACCGTACGTTGTATTCGGGTGAACATGGTACTGTAATCCTGGTAAGGGAAGGAACAGCCTAGTGAAAACAACACCCCCAGACATGGAGCTAGCATAGACGAGGGCATGGCGACAAGCGACGGCCCCAGCCACTGCCGCTCAGAACATGCCTAATGAAGCACTGTCAGGGAGCTAGCAAGGTTATGAATATGAGCTCTGAAATCCCTGTCAAAGACCTGCCCCGTGAACCACAAAAAATCATGGCGGAGGTTGTGGCAATGTGACGCCGGAGTTTCACCTACTCAATAAAGAAACAGAACCCTGCAAGTGGCCTGTGGCTCAGTGGTTAGGGCACCGGTTGTCAATACACATTGCAGTCTGAGGGTGCGAGTTCGAAACTCCGCACCTCTGTGCAGAGATGCCGGTGGGCGTTTACATAACCTGTGGTCACTTGCATACCCGCTTGGGCTGACGCAGGTAAGCTATTACAGACACTGCCTCCGCACCACCCAAGGGATTGTCCATGGTGTTGGATGTTGGGTCTTGACGCTATGTGGGTTGGTTCTCGCTGTTGGTCTTGGTTGTTCTGCTGATCTTCCCAGTCTGGCATATCACACATTTGTACCACTTGTGACTGTTACACACATGGGAGAGTCTTTCGGTTACATGCTGGGTTCGAGTCTGGATCGAGACTCTGGGGGGGTTCTTGTCCAACTTGGCCCGTCATCCCTTCACATGCGATATACACGAGATAGCTTATGAACATACGCATAGCCTGCAGGTGCATACATAGCTTACGGACATACACATAGCTTACAGGTACATCATACATACACTTACACACAGCCTCCAGGCACACACATATATACAATTACAATACCAGGCTGGGGAGGAGGTGGGGTCTACTACATATTTCAGTAGGAACAGGTCCAGGGCTGGGTAAGGATATAAGTTGCTGCGGTTGGTCCGGGATCCGCCTAGCCTTGGGTAAGCTAGGACAGTCCGGACTTGTCCATGGGTGCTAGCCTGTCTAAGCTGCCTACACCTGCAACTCGGTTCGGGTTGAACCTCTGACCATATAGGAGGGGTTAGGTGTCCAAACTTCTCGCACGACGAGGCTTGTCAGATTCCACTTCGACTAGGGATGGGTGGTGGGTCCAGCCTTGGTACCTATACCTGCTATTCGGTCCAAGTCACCCTCCAAGATGGTAATGTGATGGACCTGAGTGATTTGCACTGAGGTAGGATAGTGGGGATAGGGGTTACGCTAGGAGTATTGACGAGAGGATGGGTTGGGAGGTACTCTCATAATTGGAAGGATAATTGGAAGGCTGACTGAGACTGCAACCACCATGGGTCTGGAATCTGACCTCTACAAAAACCTGGGCTTTTTTAAGGGAAAAAACAAAAAACAGAACCCTACTATGTAGAGCCCCCTATGTGTTGTCTAGGCTGTTCGCCTGCCTGACCCGGCAGGGGGGA